ATTCTGTCCAAATTATTCTGCTGTGTAACAAACAGAGTAGGGCCCGACTGTTCTCTCGGAGTTGGCGAAAAAAACGCAAGAATTGCATAAAGTTTAGTTTATACTTTCCAGCAAATATTCCTTGTCACAAGTTAAATTTGAATTTGAATAAACAGATCAATATAAAATTTATAATAGCCTTACTTATTTTTCATATATTATATAATATGTGCGGCTGAGGTATTTTTTTAAATAAGATATTTAAACAAAATATAATATAATTAAATTATAAAAAAATTATAAATTGTAATCAAGTATCGTCTATTCTTTTTACATCACAGGCATTTGAACCTTAAAATTTACTATACTCGTAAGTTGTATGGCATCCAAATTTTATTGGCTGAGGCAGTTTTAGGCTGCCCAGAATCTTACTCTTCCTATTTTTCAAATACAGAGAAAAACATAATTCTTGATTTCTATAATTTTATACAATTTTATTTGTAATTTTTATAATTTTTTTTAATATTTTTAATTTCTATAGAGATCAAAAAATTGAAAAAAAATAAAAACTATAAAGATTTAAAAATAAATGTCACTCAATTTTTTGAATTAGACTAAAAAATATTAAAAAAATTACAAGGACTAAAAACAAAACTTGATGAAATTATAAAGATAAAAATTCTGCTTTTCCTCAAATATAAGTGAAAATAATCAATTCATATAATCTAAGAAAATTGACTAAGTATCATAATTATTTTTGAAATTAAAAAAATTGAATTAATTTTTTTCCTGTAATCAATAAAACAGATTTGTGTAATGAAAATAAACTTTGATTTTATGAAGAATAATTTAATAAATATGATAAATACTGATTAGAATTTATAATTTCATTCATAAATAAAAATAAATAAATATATAATACTCTCTCCGTTTAAAAATATAAAGTATTTTCAACCGAATATCACCCTCAATAAAATAGTTACTTACTTTTAAATTAACCTTATTTTTTTATATTTATCCCTTTTAAATACTCTATAATAAATATAAAATCATTCATCAAAATAAATACTTTTAAAAAAATAATAATTACATCTTAAAACGTTAAAAATACTATATATTTTTGAATGAAATGAGTGGCTTCTTTTATATTTAAAAATAACTGAATACTCAATCATATAAGAACTAAGGTAGAACTTATAACATATTTTTTATTAAAATATTGTTATACATAAAGCATGTTTATGTATCTTTTTGAAAATTATGAATATGATATCAAGATTAAATGTTGATGAATGATGATAACAATTTATATTATATTATAATTTTAATATATAGTGTATGTCTAAATTTCTTTTTTAATATTACAAAAATCCTAGTCGGCATCTGCTTCCCTGGGTAGCCAGGTAGGTTAGGCTCAAGGCTGGAGCGTGTAAATTACTCGCACAACGGCTCCCGCCAGCGAGCCCCAACAGTCAAAAAAGGCGGACTCGCAGCTCGGCATGCATGGGACTAACGTGACTTTTACGTTTTGTCCATGGCCACGTGAATAAAATAAAATAAAAAAAGACCCTACATTCCCGACAAGTTTTACGATGACAACACCCTGTCTAGTTTTTTTTTTTTTTTTTTAAAGACTAAGAAAATATAAATATCAAGCCTCCGGAAGTGCCGGGACAGCCGTTATTGACCTCTCATTTTTTACTTTTTCGAATCACCGTAGTTAAAGATGAGTTTTCCAAATAAAAATTCACAAGTAACTAGTTTAACTTCTAATGAAAAATATGACACTTTTGCCATGATAATTGCTGACCCATGCGAACTTAGAAATTTTTGCATGGATCCATTATATCACATTATTCATGTTTTATCTAATTGAATTGATTTTGCTATTGGTAAAAATACAAAGGAAAGAAAAATAAAAAAGTACCCTATTTTAAAAATAAAATTATTAAAATAATGATACACTAAATTTTATTTAATTAAATTGATGTAACATTGCTTGTTTTTATTAAAGAAGACATAAAAAATACTCTCTCAATCCCAAATTATAAATATTTTTGAGAAAGATTTATCATTTTAAAATATAAGATACTTTAAAAATATTAAGATTTTATTAAATAAATTTTTTTAATAAGTGTAGATTTAAGGTAATTAAATAAAGAGTATTTTTTAAAATTTATATTTTTATTTAAAAAATAATAATATTACATGTATTTAATAAAATCAACTTATAAAATTTTATTTAAAAATATTAATTTAAAATGGAGGGATATAATGTATAGATGCAAAAATTTGTCAAAACTAAAACATTGCAGTCATTGGGAATTTGTGAAAATTTTGATAAACGGGTCCGCTGTCTCAGCCAACCTTGACATGTGGTTATAAGCCAAATACTACAATTAAAGATAACTTTTTCCTTTATTTGCTGTCCTTTCTATTGCTAACCAATAATCATTTGATTAATGTTTTCCATTTTCGTCATATGTCTTTCTATCTTTTTTATTTTCGGCGTGCGCACAATATTTGTTGCGAATCAAAGTTTGCGCAGACAAAAATACTCAGTAAAGTTATCAGCAGACATCCAAATTTTTTTTCTCTCTCTTATCATTCCGAACTACAGCTTATTTATAAATTTACTTTCGATACGTTTTATCAAAATTAAAAAAAATTGAATTTTATTAACTTTATTTTATAATTTAACAAGTTTTTATTTTTTCTCCTAATCAATATTTTAAAATTTTATTATTAATATTTTTATTTAAAGTACTTAATAAAGATAAAAATTTAAAAAAAAGTGTTGAGAATTGACAAGTATCCGATAAATATGATTAATTTTTTTTTCTCTACTCTATAAATAAGATAAGAGAAGTGACAGCTAAGAAGCAAGGCAATTGCTTGCCCATTTATTATAATATAAGTCATTGTTAAATAATGACTAAAGTATACTTTTAGTTCTATAATTTTATGTAAAATTTTAATTCAATCCCTTAATTTTATAAAAGATATTTTTAATATTTTAATCCTAATATTATTAATTTTAAATGATTATTTTTTGTATCAATTATTATTATTTTAAAAAATTTGAATTTAATATGACAACATTTGAGAATATTTTATCAATATTTAAAAGTTTAATGTAAAAATTTGTTAGGATGAAACTAATAATGTTAAAATTAAAGAACTATAAATATACTTTATAAAGATAAGGGATTAAAATGAAATCTTGTGTAAAGTTAAATGATTAAATATATACTTTAATTTTAAATAATTTATATTTTAAAAATAAAGTTAGTTAAAATCTTACTTTTTTTACACACTTGTAATCATATCAATATAATAAAGAGAAAAATTTATTTAATCTTGTATACTTAAGATACTTATTTTTAATTAAATCAAAAAATATGTATTTTTTATAAATTATTTATTCTATAATAAATTTTTACTATTAATATTATTAACAAATTAAGGAGCACTTGTCTTAATTTAATTAAATAAAAGTATATTAAATATATATTGCTAAGTACATAAGTTTTTGCCTTATAATAAATATGAAATATGAAATTTAACTTATTTAGAATACCATCATTAATCAATTGAATGGAATATAATAAAATAAGAATATGGGAAATAAATAAATAAATAAATATATATATATATAACTTATTTAATGGTTTATATTTTGAGTTGAATGAGGTTTTTATAAAACACCCTCTATTATTATACGCAACTAATGATTTGGAAAAAACAGATATTTTTATTTTCCAGTTGCAAAAAAATTGTCTATCAAGACAGAAAGATTAATCATGAATTTTTCATATAATATTAGTAAATAATTAAAAATTATATCTTGTTTAGAAGTTTCTTCTAGCATATCTTGTCAGGAAATAAAAAACCTGAATCATGCGGAGGGATATATAATACCTAAATCATTGCGTGAAGCTTGGTGAGTAAATAGATTGATACATTTATCTATTTTTATAAAAACATGATCATCGAAAACGATTGTTCATTAGTATGGGATCACGAACATGGATTAACAAATAAAAGAAATGCAAATTCAACAATCAACAGAGGAAGGGGTAGATAACTGTAGGTTTTTAAATATTTTTAGTTAAAATGCGTAAAATTCTTTTAAAGTTTGAGACAGTTGCAAATAATCCCTTATCCTTAAAAGTTTAAAATTAACTCCCTAATTTTTAATTTTATTTTTCATAACCGCCATTATTAATTATATTATTTTTTTATGAGGGTTAAAATATCATTTAACTAAAAAATGTTATAATTTAGTCTAACATTACCATGTTAGATCAATTTTAAAATTTATCTAATATTTAAATATTTAATATTTAAAATTTTAAATATTTTAACTATGTGCATTACATTAATTTAACATGAAAAATAAATAAAAATTTATCCATTAGAGCAATAAAATTATGCATCATTGATAATAAAAAAACATGAATAAAACTAATATAAACATAAATATTTAAAATTTTATATAATGATAATAATATTTTTTTTGTTATCAATGTCTGACTTATTTAAAAAATATAAAAAATTATTATAAATAGTTATATAATATAATATTTTTTTAATAATATTTTTTAGTTGAACAACATTTTAACCCTCATAAAAAATAACATAATTAATAATAGGGGGTTTTGAAAAATAAAATTAAGAATTAAGGAGGGTTAATTTTAAATTTTTAACATTGAAGGGGTTATATACAACTGTCTTAAAATTTAAAAAATTTTTATGCATTTTAGCTAATATTTTTTCATAAACATTTTATTTAATAATTTTTATTAATTATTAATAACATGGATTTGTGAGACCGTTCCAGTCCTCTCCATAGGGCAAAACTTAACCGACGGGTCATGACTCACGAGACATTATCATCAGTGGGTAGAGGAACATAGTGAAAAAAAAAAAAAAAATTGGGCATCCTTGCTTTCATTCTACTTTATTTTATTTCTCTTCAAATAAAAACGAGCGGCTTTATATACACTGGCTGACGGGCACCCAAAGGCCGAAGACCGCGAGTCCACGGTTAATCTATTCGTAACCTGTTGATCAACAGCATCGTGCAGCTCTTCGGTGATTCTGTCCTGGGACACCGCTTTCTCTCTCTTTCTCCCTCTCTTTAAATGCCTCAAAGCAAGCACCGAGCCCATCATTCCCAGTCTCCCTAAATTTATCCGAGGAAAGGCCCGAAAGCACCGAAAATGCGGTGTTTTCTTTCGTTGGTATTGGCCTTAGCTTCCTTCCTGTTGCTGGTAGCGGTAGCATACAGCGGACTGCCGAGGAGTTTTCTGCCTCTTGAGCGGGCCTTTCCTCCGGGCCATCGAGTGGAACTGGAAGCACTCAGAGCACGTGACAGAGCCAGGCATGCTCGAATCTTGAAAGGCGTGGTAGGCGGTGTTGTCGACTTCTCAGTCGAAGGGACCTCCGATCCTTACTCCATTGGGTACGGGTAATTATACCTTCCGGGTTCTTTTAATTCTCATCGGTTTTATTTCACGTGCATTTATTGGGCTGTTTCGAAGGGCGTTAACTTTAAAGACTGCATTCTTTGTTTATCCTATTCTTCTTCGTCTTCTGGCAAGCATTTATTGGTCTTCATGTTGCATTGATCTCTTTTCGTTCTCCAATTTGCGGCGGAAAATGCTGCGAACGATAAGAAGAAATATAAAGATGGAGATAGAATATTTTCGGTTACCATTATGTATTATCTTCTGGTTAGCTAATGGGTTCTTCCGGTCACTTTCCCTTTATAATCCGTAAATCTTTGTTCTTGATGTTTTCCCTGTCTTTGTTTGTGACCACTGATTCACTTGCACGCTCTGTTTAGGGTTAACGTTATCGAATCACAAGTATTGTATTCTTTAAAGATGAAGTAATCTTGGGTTTCTTGTGTAGGCTGTACTTTACGAAAGTGAAGCTGGGCTCTCCTCCAAGAGAATTTAAAGTCCAGATTGATACTGGAAGTGACATATTGTGGGTTGCTTGCGATGCTTGCAGCGATTGCCCTCGATCTAGTGACCTTGGGGTAAGATTTTGATGATTGTTCTTATTTATAGTCATACTATCTTGGGAAACCAAAAGACACTCTGGTACTTTGTTTATGTTCTGCAACCTACAGATTGAGCTCAATTTCTTTGATAGAGCCAGCTCATCCACAGCCATGCTAGTTTCCTGCTCAGACCAAATGTGTGCTTCTGCGTTGCAAAGTACTGGAACTGAATGTTCCCCTCAGATTAATCAGTGCAGCTACACTTTCCAGTATGGAGATGGAAGTGGGACATCAGGTTATTACGTATCTGATCTGATGCATTTTGACGTGATGCTAGGACAGTCTATGCCTGCCAACACTTCAGCTAATGTTGTTTTCGGGTGAGTCCTTATGCTATTGAGTAAAAGATACGCGCCTGTCGTTGCTAGATGGTGGAGTAATATTAAGTTCATGGGCACTCAAATGGGATAGAGAACAAATAAATCAAGGAGGAAAGTTGGATGGAAGGGTTCAGAGAAGCTTTGCTTTATAAACATCACCAACAACTTTGCACTTGATGAAGATTACAATCCAAGATTTATTACCAGCTAATTGTTTGAAATTCTGCATCAAACTAATATAAATTTTAAAACTAATAACTATAGTTAGTGCTGAGCTATTGGGCATGTTTTTTAGAAATGAGAATGGGAGAAAATGAAAGGGGGTGAAATTGGCATTTTTCGTCTTGTCAGTTGGTGGATTTTTGGATAAAAGGGGAAAGGTAAATAAATGGTGTTTGATTAAGTTGAATTGAAGTCCTTATCCATTTGCATCTGTTTACTCTCCATTTTTATATTATAATCTATTACTTCCCTTTTTTTTAGTTTTGCCAAGTTACTCTGATTTTTTTTTTTTTAATGTGGACTTTGGAATGTTAAACACGCTCTCTTGCATGGTTGTTTCTGGTATAGGTGTAGCACCTCTCAATCAGGAGAATTGACAAAGACGGATAAAGCTGTTGATGGAATTTTTGGTTTTGGCCCTGGTGGTTTATCTGTTATCTCACAATTGTCATCACGGGGAGTAACACCCAGAGTCTTCTCTCATTGCCTAAAAGGAGAAGGCAATGGAGGAGGCATATTAGTTCTTGGTGAGATTTTGGAGCCAAATATTGTTTATAGTCCACTCGTCCCATCACAGTATGCCCTCTTTTCCCTACTTGGTTTCATGCTTTCTTTCTCCAGATGCCATTGACAATTTTTCCTTTTTGTCACATCGCATTGATTGAAGGAAATGCACGTCATATGCATAGCTGTCATAAATCATAATGACACTAAAAAGTTGTTTGATACTTTCACATGGTCTCTTTGGAACATAAGAACATGTAGCACTATGATGGATAACGGAAAATGAAGTATCAGGATCAACATTTGTGATCACTTGGAACTTGATAGATCCATTTGAGATGCATGGCATTGTATTTGACTGATTTCTCAATCCAATCTTAGGCCCCATTACAACTTAAACCTTCAGAGCATTGCTGTCAATGAACAACTCCTCCCAATTGATTCAGCTGTCTTTGCAACATTTAAGAACCAAGGAACTATAGTTGACTCTGGTACAACGTTGGCATACTTTGTTCAAGAAGCATATGATCCTATTATTAATGCTGTAAGTTTTTTTGTTGCCCAATTACGAATTTGAAACATTTTACTTTAGTTGGCACATAAGATTCTATGGTATGATCACTTTCTCTTGATATATCTCGTCAGGATGCAAAATCTTACGTGCCCTTTCACACTATTATCTTATAATAAACAGCATCTCCTCAAAAAGAGTGATAAAAAAGTTTTTCTGTCTGAACCAGGAAACTGGGCTGTTAATTTGAGATTTTCATCATTACGTTTAGCAAACTGCTTACCTTCTTCGTCTTGTGTCTATTTGTTCCTTTAATATATCATTAGGTCGCAGACTGGCAGCATGTTTGTCCATCGAATCCATATGTTTTCCTATATTCGACCGGAAAAAAAAAGATTCCTATATTATTTGTGTAACATGACATTTTTATGGTCCTTGGTGTTGGTAAATCCCATTTTCCTTAGATCTTTAATTGTAATTGTTTTTCATCAAAAACATATTACTATATTAGTGATTTAATCAAGATTCTCTCAAATCTTACAATAGTCAAGGCGTTGAATATCATATTGAGGTTTATATCTAATTTTTATTCAGTATATTCAAGAGAGGGTGGGGAAGGAGCACAAAATGAAGGAAAAACATCCTGTTCTAATTTCAAAAATTCTATATGAAATCATAGTGACCTTACTTCTACTTGTACTGAGGTTAAATTTCTTGATGTGTAGATCACTACTGCTGTGTCACATTCTGCAAATCCCATTATTTCAAAAGGATATCAGTGTTATCTGGTCTCAAGCAGGTTGATTTCAGACTTGATATTTGCTATGACTTTTAGTTTAGTTCTATCATAGAAACAGAATTTGTTCTTTTAAGACTTGTGAAGACTCATTATAATTTATTCTTGTGCCTTACTCAGCATAGGTGATATATTTCCTCCAGTAAGTTTAAATTTTGCTGGCGGGGCATCCATGGTTTTAAAACCTGAACAGTACCTTATTCGTTATGGATTCGTCGTAAGTATATCTATCTATTTCTTTGGTTAAATTGCTGCATTTTTTTCCTACTTAAGGAAGAGCTACTTTTTTTTGATGCCACTGGTTATTACTCTGATATGCCACCTTGCTATAAAAGGATGGTTCTGCAATGTGGTGTATTGGTTTCCAGAAGGCGCAGGATGGGGTTACAATTTTAGGAGGTAAGACCCTCTAGGAGATTATTTGAACAAGCCGAGTATTTCTTTTGTCACTTGAAAACTTGATTATTAAAGGTCATTTTAGTAAATAATAAGTAAATACATATAGAGTCTTGACTTCGGTAGGCTGTTAGGAAGAATCTTATTTGACATATGACAGAGTATTTCTGGTTTACTCTAATGGAATCGAACTTCAAATCATGATCTGGAAAAGGGTTTGTTGGCTGATTGCTATAATCCAATACTTCTGGTCTGATGTCTGTGCAAGACTATATTGATGAAAGTTGACTTCATTTTGACTTGAAAATGTCATCAATAAGCATGATACTCAGATGTGTGCGTCCTCCAATCTTTTTAAAGTATTGGGTTGATGATCCTGGCTGTCTCCTCATCTTGCAGATGTTGTCCTAAAAGATAAGATTTTTGTCTATGACTTGGCTCATCAACGAATTGGGTGGACTAACTATGATTGTAAGTTGACCAGAGGAACTCTTTCTTCTAACCTAGAATTATTACGGCCATTCCTGCATTGATTGCAAATTGCCGCTCAGGTTCCTTGTCTGTAAATGTCTCCCTGACCACAAGCAAGGATGAGTACATCAATGCAAGGAAGCGGGGTGCAAGTAGCTCACAGATGGACACTCTCAAGAATTTGCTACCTGTTAGCATCGGCATTCTCATAGCGTACATATTAGTTTTCATGGAGTCCCTATAGCATGTAGATCCCACATTCAAAAGCTCATTCTGTTTTTTCTTTTTCTTTTTTTCTTTTTTGGTTTTGGCCGATCTTTTATTGGTTATCGGCGTCCCCTTCTGATTAGCTGTTTCTGTTGCGTATTTATCCCCTTTCCATTTGGGCTTAGCATTGCCTGCTAGCGGGGGGCAACTTCCATCCTTCTAACGAAAAAGCGGATCTCATTGTAAATGACCAGAGGGGCTCCGTTGAGGATGAGAACTTCCAAAGTTGCATATTATATCTATAGCAGATAAATTTGCACTAGTTCTGTAGTCCATCTGTCATTCACTGTGTGAGGGCTGAGGACAGATAAATGTGATTTAGATTTACTGGCCACGGGATACACAAGGCATATAGCAATCTCGTGTGCTGATGGTATCATGGATGGTATTCGGGATGGAGATTTATGGTAGTCGGTCTTCCTTTTCAAATTATCACCTGTCGGAATATTTGTCGTCAAGAGTAACATTCATCCTGGTCTCTATAAATGAAAATTACCGTAGTTGATCTAATGAGCGACACTGGTAACTTTTACTGGTCAATTTGGTTCGATCTCTTGTTAAAGCAGTCAGTAGCAATATTAGCAGCCAAAAACATTATCAAAATAATGATAATATTAAACTTTCTAAATTTCTAATTTTGTCGTCGTCTTCTTTTTGTGACACGAGGGTTTAATTTTGTCTTTTTGAGAAAGTTACATCCTCTCTAATTTCATCCATGTATAACTTGAAAAAATGATTTTCATGATTAGGATATTTCTAAGACTAGTTAAACACTAAAGGCAGAAAGTTTCCAAGCATTTTCAACGTAATAATTAGGAAATAACGAAAATTTAACGTGATCATCTCCACCAGTCAACAACCTATGGAAAAGGCATAGACCCTTTTTCCAAAAGTCAAATGGATAAGATCTTTAGCCTACAGTATAATATGTCCTCCGTAGCCTAGAAATAAATGAAAAAATGATTAAAAAAATTCTATCAAAATATATAAATAATAATTATGTTCATCAAAATATTATAATTTCTCATATGTGTTTAAGTATCTTTCTAACATTAATAATTTTAATTTAAATGATTAAATTGTTCCTTGCTTAAAATAAAAAAAAAGGTTTAAGTGAGAAGTTGTAATTTTTTATTTAATTCTTACGAATGATAAAATAAGAGTTATGATTGCTTACTTCAATAGTAAAATAAATTTCACATAAGAAGTTGTTATTTTTTGTTCAATTCTTGTTATTCATATTGTAAAAGTTGTGATTGTTTAAAAAACTTATGATTGGTTATTTTTAGAATTTAAACTTTAATGATAAATGAAATTTTACGTGAAAAGTTATGACTTTTTATTTAATTTTTGCAATTTATAAAATTAAAGTTATGATTGTTTAAATAGAAGTTATGATTGGGATTAATTATTTTCAAAACTTGTTTATTAATGATAAAACAAATTTCATGCAGGAAGTTATGATTTCTTATTTAATTTTTACAATTCATAAAATCAAAGATGTGATTACTTAAATAAAAGTTGCGATTGAAACTGCTTATTTTCAGAACTTATTTATCAATCATAAATAAAAAATTATAATTTTTTATTCAATTTTTACAATTCAAATAAAAAAGTTATGTTACTTAAATAAAAGTTATAATTAAAAAAATGGAGCTAATTTTTACTTTAAACAAGGGTAATTTAATTGTTTACCCTAAAATAATTAATGTCATAAAGATACTCAAGTCTTCAGAAGAATTACAACATTTTAAATAATTTAATTGTTATTTTTATATTTCAGTGAGATTTTATTTTTATCTTTTCTAAATAAAAGTTAAAAAAACAGAATGAAATTTGTACATTAAGCTAATTATATGACTGTTCTGAATTTTCTCTTTATTCAGTAATTTTTTAAGCTCAATATAACTGAATTTTATATTACTTAAAGAACGTGTTAGTGAGATTAAGTGCCTGTATATTTAAGATTAATAAATAAATAATTTTTAAATATTTTAAAGATCTTATAAAAGAATTTATTTTATAGAGATTTAATAAAAAGCAGGTAATATTTTATATGTGATTAAAATAATAAAAAATAAGTATTACTCATTTATTTTTAAACTTTATGATATTTTCCTAGATTTCTATTTTCTAAAAATAATTTATTATTTTAAAATTTTATGATATCTTCACATGTCTTATTTCTCTAAAATGTTCTCTCTCATATGTCATAAACTTGCATTAGATTATTTGTAAAGGTTACATAAAGTAGTTTTTTAAAATAATCCGACTTTTTTTACTCTAGTTGTTTTAAAAAATTTAAATAAGCATTATAAAAAATTCTTAAAATAATTTTTTTAAAAAAAAGTAATTTTTTTATAAAATGAGTAGAAATAAACAGCCATTAAAATAGGAAGTACATGAGAACATTAACTAGGTTCTCCTGAATGATAATATCTTCAAATTCGCTCTTCGGTTCTTCCAAATAGGCACAATTTCTCCCTTAGCAAGAGCAAACATTAACACCTTCAAGCTGCGAAAATGCCCCCTCTTTCTTGAAAAACTAGAGACCCGGCATGAATATTATTATATTATTCAATTACTTAAAATTTAACCTAATCTAAAAGCCTATTTAAAAATAAATTTTTTAAATATTCTCACATTTTAATTTTAAATATTTTAAATATACTTTAAAATTATTAGTATAAATATACAATCTGATTTATCAATTAAAATATATAATAATTAAAAGAATTTGTTACAATATAATAATAAAATAATAATATTAAAATTAATATATAACTTAAATCTGATTAAAAATATAATTAAAAATATAAAAGAATATATTAATTAAAAATTAAATAATGAAACTGATATGTGTGTGTGATATATAACATAATACACACACATATATAAATAAGTTGACTTATTAAGCTTGTATGTTAGACTTAATTAATGATTTAAACTTAAGTTTATTTAATAAATAAATTGAATTGTATATGAAGTGAGATAGGATGTATGTTTTTAACAATGACCTGATCTGTTCTCGTCCGTAATCACGATAGGCCTCATAACCGATCAGTGGATGTAACGCTCTCTCTACGCGCGTGGGAATGGCTCTCAGCTTGCACACCCTTTTTGGCGAACGGCTCCAACCTCCAGCGTCCATGCATAATTCTCACTCCACCATCCTCCCTCCCTCTCGTCCACCCCCTCCTATCTCACTCAATAAAAATTCCCTTTTCTTTGTTTCTTTCTTGCTCGTCCGCCAGTCGCCATTTCTCTTCTGACTATTTCTCCTTCATTCTTTCTCTTTCCGGCGAAATTCCTTTCTTTAGAATCGGACACTGCCAGGTCCACTTTCTGATTCTCTCTGCACTGGTAAAACACATTACACTTCCATCAAGCTTTGGAAAGAAACGCAACCTGACTCTTTGCCCACCCTTCTTTCTTTCTTTATTCACTCTGGGAGGTATCTACGACACGTGCTTTTCACTTGACCAATGGCGGTTCCTCTAACGGTTGCCGCCGCACGGGCTTCACTTTACGTCGGCGACCTCCACCCTGACGTCAGCGATGGACAGCTGCTCGAATTGTTCTTGGAGTTCAAGAGCCTCACTTCTGTTCGGATCTGTAGGGACTCCTCCACCGGCAGGTCTCTATGTTATGGCTATGTCAACTTCAACTCTCCTCAAGATGGTATATACAATTTCTTGATCTGCGTTTTAACTTTTCCTTTTCTTTATTGTTATCCATTTTGTAGTTCTTTTGTCTACTTTGATTCCTGAAAAAACGAAGGAAACTCTCAGAAAGAGGGAGCTCGCTTGGTGGCAAATGTAGCTTTTAGAATAATGTATTTGTTTATGTGCGTGTATTGGGCTGTTGGCATAGAATCTGATTATAAGAACCAACGAAGAACTTTATACATAATGCTGTTAAATTATTCAACAGTTTGAATGAGATCTTGATTTCGACAGAGAGATATTGTTTCTTGCGTATTTTATCCTTCACTGTCTTTTCGCTGTGTAAAAGATATGAAAATCATTTCAAGTGACGTTCTAGGAACTACTAGTTTTCCATTGATTCGTCTCTTTTCTGAAGTACAACGGAGGCTTGATTGTTACATGATTTTCTGTTTTTCCAAGAATCCCCTCTACATATAATTCAAATTATATATTTGTTAACTTCGACTGGTCTCTAGCTACCTGCTTTAAGTTGCGGGAACAATAAACCGGCGTTGTGGCCTGAGTCTCATTTCCGATATGCTTGGATTAAGAAATTGTTTATTTTGCAGGGTGCAGCGGTAGTGAACATAATATTTTCGTTCGTTCGTTCGTTTTTTTTTTTTTTGGGTCGTTGCCTAGTCTCTGCGCATTATTTTAGTTAGATGTTGAAAAGCAAATTCTTATAAATCTGAATTTTATTTACCGGGGGTAACTAAGTTCAAATCTTTGTGAAACTTTCATATTATTTTTCAACTTCTTTAAGAAAATTACAAGATTTAGTAGCTTTAGCTCCAGTTATCTTAAACTGTTATTCTTGATTTGAATAGCTATTCGTGCTATTGAGGTGAAGAATCATTTTAAACTGAACGGGAAAATGATAAGGGTCATGTGGACCCATCGTGACCCCGAAGCAAGAAAAAGCGGCAAAGCGAACGTATTTGTTAAGGTACATGTCCGCTGTTCACCTAACTCGTAATTGATCTCTGATTCATTATTATTTTTGAAGTGGATTCTGATTGAAACTGGCTCTGTTATCATGACAGAACTTAGCTGAACCTATAGATAATGCGGGATTACACGAACTGTTTCAAAAATTCGGGAAAATCTTGTCCACCAAAGTTGTCACGTCTGAATATGGGAAGAGCAAGGGGTATGGCTTCGTTCAATTTGAGTCAGAGGACTCTGCAAATGTCGCCATTGAAAAGCTGAATGGCTCCACTGTTAGAGATAAACTGATGTAAGAGTTAAATTCTGCATTGTTTGATGTTACGTTGACATTAGTCAAACTTGCAGCTTGCTGTTTAGTGTGCTGCGCACTAACCTTACAAATCGCAAGTTCGAATTGGCAGAGACCTAAAGAAATCCTTCTAATTTTTTAATTCCTTGCTGTATTCAATTTCATATATACCTCTCCGAAAACTAAGTTTAATGGAACTAATCTGGTCACAGATATGTTGGTAAGTTTGTCAAAAAAAGTGAACGTCTCTTGCCCGGTCCCGATTCCAAGTTCACGAATTTGTTTATGAAAAATCTGGACCCAGAGACCACAGAAGAGCTTCTGCAGGAAAAGTTCGCCCCTTTTGGAAACATTGTTAATTTGGCTGTTGCTAAGGACAACAATGGAGTATCAAAGGGTTTCGGCTTTGTGAACTATGATAATCCAGATGATGCTAAACGGGCAATGGAAACCATGAATGGATCACGACTAGGTAGGTTTCTTATGAGCAACATTTGCAATTTCTTGACGATGATTTCCCATATTAATATATAATGTGATTTATTGGTTTGTCATAAGCAGGTTCG